TCCGCGCCTCAACCGCAAATCCAATTTGGGGAGAAAGCTGCAAAAATCACAAAATTTTTTTTGCGGAATTTGACGAAAAGGTGTTCGACGACGACGGAGAGCGCCGTCGGCGGCTTTCAACAATATTGGAATAATGTCAGCGGTTTCCATTTTTCTTCCTTCCAACTACTTTAGCATATTTGGAAAACAAATTAAAAATGGAGGCCGCCGAGCGGCGCTGAACCAAATAACGCGGCTCGCCATACACACACACAGTCTTTAATATCTCATCGACTTTGGATTTATAAAGGATTTTGAAAAGAAGAAAAAAAAATCGAAAATTCTAAAAATAGTCCAAAATGAATCGTGATGCTTCAATTATTCTGATTTAATACATAGAATCGTGAGAATTATTTGCATTGCATAAAAAAATGAGGAAGAAAATATCTATAATGCACATTTTATGAATATTTTTTTTTTTGAAAAATAAATGATCAAATATTGCTTTTTATGAAAATCTTTAAAAATTTGAACTTCGCGGTTTAAATTTCTAATTTGAAAACTTGAAGTTTTTTTCGGTTCCAAACAAGACCAAGAAAATTTGAAAAAAATTTTTGGAAAAAGAAAAACCTGCTGATTCCTCGCCGACCGATATAATTTGTCATATTTTTTCGCGATTTGAAAAATTCAAATTCGAACAATTCGATTTGTGCGTATTTTTTCGTGAGATTTTAATTTCCTGTAAAAAAAACCCGGGAGAAATCGCGCAGAATCGAAAAATAACGTCATCAAAAATTTGGCGAGTCGGCGAGAAAAGAAACATAAATAATATTGCGGCGAGAATGGCCAAAAATCGATTAACTATGCAATGCATAATGTAGACGTTGATAATCGCCGGGATAAACTATCAAAATTGGGGAATTTGCACTCGGATAATCGAAATTGAACGGAGGAATTCAATAAGAGTTCAATTTCACACCGGATAACCAAATTTGGAATTCGATTGGAACGAGATGAACACACACACGGCGAAGAAAAATGGTTCATCATCATATTGAAAATGTTGCAGGTTGGATTTAATCCGCTTCGCGAAACACTTCAAATTTTCAAGAAGCCCTACATTTCAAATGCGATTCCTTTCCTGCAGCTCACTGTAAACAATTTTCGCGGGGCGGATTTTTTTTTTTTTTTTTGAAAAAAAAAAACTAATGCACATGATGAAAAACGCAGCGAAATGAGACAACAATGTGAAAAGCTTTTGGCGCAAAAAAATTGAGTTAGCTAAATTATTCAGGACCATCATTGGCCGACGAGAACATGTTTCGACGCGAATCTTGTTAGATCCACTAATGACGGTCCTCGTGGGGATTTTTAGCGCATCCAATTATTTTTTTTTTTTCGAAACGAGTATTAGGCTGGATATTTAATAGGAAAGGTGCGAAGAAATCAAATTGGACTGAAGCAATTTTTTGAAAAAAAATGGTCAAATTTTGAACAGAATTAATATTTTTTGTCAAAATCGCATTCTGGAGAATTTTTCTCGAAAGTTTGAAGCAGAAATGTCGGCCGTAGGTGAAATTATTTGCTTCCGCATTGCTTCTCGTTGTTTCGAGTAATTTTCACGTGAGCTTTCTACATATTATAGCCAAGAATTTGAATTTTGAGGGTTGCCAATTCATTTTTTTTTGCATAGAGAATGAAAAATAGAAATTACAGTAGCAACTTCGCGGCGTGACCCGCGCAACTTTTCGCGTGCGCCTTTGAAAATAAATGGCGGAGAATTACGATATGCGCGTGCATAGGGAATTCAAATGAATAAAATTGATAAAAAAATTTTTTGCATGAATAATTCCATTAAAAAAATTCTCTTTTGCTCCGTCGTTTAACATTTTAAGCAATTACCGAAATACTTGAAATTCACAGAAAAAAATTAAATGAAGCAAGACTCACTTCTAACAGTTTTTCCATACGAGACCTTCATTTCAAATGGTACCCAAAATTCGTTCATCCTTGACTAACAACCAGCTACTCGCATAATTCTGTTGATTTTAAAATTTCTGAATTTGCCCCAAAAAAATTGGAAAGTGCGTTTGATAAAGGCAGAATTTCCAAATTTTCATATTTGAAAATTATTTTAAGATTTTTTTTAATTTAAAAATATACCATTTATATTACATTTGAAATACTTATTTTCCGCTAATCGAATTTTTTGAAAATCTTTCCAACAATAAAAAAAAACAACTATTTATAACAATAAAGTAGAGCAATTTTCCGATTCCGGTCTACGTGGTTTTTTTTGTCAGAAAAAAAATGTGATGCTCAAAACTCGCCAACATATTGCGATGAAACTAACGAATAAATTTTTTTTCCAGACAATTTAAAATGCCCAATTTCAGAACAAAAGCACTATATGTGCACTCGTGGTAAACAAAAAACGTGAGCTGACACCGGAAGTCATACTACATCTAAATTGTTCTTCGCTACCACATTTGCCCTCTCACATCAGCCTCGATTCCCACCTGGTGGTGAGGAAAAAAAAACGCGGGGGGGGGAATGAGGGGAACCAGGAGGAGAATCGGGAGGGGAAAAACAGAGGAAATTTGTTCGTTTTGACACCAAAAATCGGCGAAATCACCTAACTGCGGACACTGGGCACAAAAGCGGATAATTTGAGCGAGGCGCGAATGTCGATGGAATGACGGGTCGGGACCCCCCCATGCCTCGCAGCAGCCGCAGGAAATACTCGAAACAAAAAAAAGTTAACAAGCAAAAGTTGCAATAGATACATGTGGCCGCCAGATGGATGAGAAAACTCGGCGGCTAATGGCCGACTCGCAGGTTATATTGACTAAATAATTAAGGGTGTTCTGGACGTCTCATTGATGGGTCCCGCAGGGAAAATGAATTCAGGAAAACGCGAGTAGGAGACCGAGAGGAGAACGATGGATTTTTTTTTGACGGCAAAATACCTGCGGGCAGCTCATCTCATAAAACATCAACGGTTTTTAAAATCGCCTCGATGGGTCCGTGGTTCGAAGAAGAAGGCAATGAAGAAGGTGATAAAAACGTAATATGTATGGTCTTCTGGCCAGTACGATCGACTTCAAATTTTTGTGCTCAAATTTGAAACATGAATTTTGGTTCCCGAATAAACGAATTTCGAAATAATTCATCTCTTGATACTTTGAATTTAGTGTGTCGAAATCTTGTGAAAATTCCGATTTGCATAATAATCCTTCGAAATATTTTTGATTGACTGTTAGGAAGAAGCCGTCAAGCTCCTCCCATCGCAATCCAATTAGATTCATCGAGCCTAGGATTCTTACTTTATGAGTGGGTCGAGGATCTCACTGATTTCTGAGAAATGAGGGATGACGTGAAAGGTCATTTAATAATAGTCGTTGAAAATGGAAATCAAAGATGAAGTGAGGAAAATGATTGAATTCCGAAGAAAGAAAATCAATAGGGGTTCAAGAAACATGGTATCGGATTGAATCATAATTTATCAAAATGCTTCATACGAGCAGCTCGCTGTGGTGAATCAAGGTTTCGAACATTATTTTGCAGATGCCACAGACAAACGAGATTCATTCATTTTTCTTAAGCCTCCAATCGAATTGTCTATTCGAATCGGAGGGAAAGAGAGACGAAGGAACCAGGAGAATGATTTTCGAACACAAGATTCATTTGAATTCAAATAATCATCGAATGCGAGTTTTTTTCGACGGTTGGTGGTCTCTTTCAAAGTGCGCGCATGGATAGGCGATGGTGGCTCGAAATACGCACACAGACGCCAGATAGCGGAGAACACGACGCACCAGCTGGCGGTTGGGTTGTGGTGTAAGAGCGAAGCGTTTTCGGAGGCGACCGCCGCATTGTCCATCCCGCCATTTTCGAGTCCCAAAGAATCGCCATTTAATTTGATGTATGCGCTATGCATTCGAATCAGGATACACTATTTAGGAAACGAATCGAAGAAATGCAGTTGTGAGCACACGCTCCTGCTCAGCGAAATAATGTGCGTCAAGTTGCAATCCAGTCAAGCTTTTAAAAATGCTCCCCAACACAACACAATTATTATTATTATTATTATTATTATTATTATTACTGCTATATCGGAAATGAGGGAAACCAAAAACTATGATGTGAACGTTTCGTTGGCTCATTTTATGGAATAGTGGCAGCATAATTTGTTTTGAATTTAAGTGCCTTACTCATTTCGCCAAACAAATGCGAGGAATTCGAGAATGCCATGTTTTCTTTTCAGGTGGAATTCATGATGCTATTTAATTTAAATTACATGAACCTTGGAAATTTTCTAAAAAGGATTATTAAATCTGATACAGCAACCGTATTAAAACGGCAACATTTAAAACTTTAAGGAATTTTCAGATTTTTCTTCAGAGCTGCATGATATTGAACGTCGTCGTTTTATATTTGTACACCATACAACACTTTCCTGCCATTTTACTTCAAATTTCAATGATTTTGAGGTGAAAAAAAGTTGGAAGATATAATTAAGGGAAATCACGCAACTCACGCACGGCCTAGAAAAATTGTCCTCAAAAATTAGGTTCGGCCACGACCATATTTGATGATAATTGAGTAGAATTAAAAGAATACGTATATATTTTGTGAGTTGAAGATTTCAAAATCAAATATTAAAAGAAAAGTCGCAGCTTCACTGAAATAAAAGAATATTGAGCCATTACACATAATATTAAAAATTGGCCTGTGATAATGTGCCGTACTTGGAGTTTTTTTTTTCAGAATTTGTGTTGCGCACTTGCATTTTTGATTTTTGAAAGTGTTGACCATTTTTTTAAGGCCGCACGTTAGTTGCAACGAGCCGTGGAATAATGAAGATGAGGTTTTAAATTAACAATTTTTTCGTGTTCCCTGCACACACGTTCATCGGTGTTTGCACAAAGTGTCTACCGTATCACAAATTCTTCAAAAAGCAACATTCAAAAATTTTTTCGTAATTTTTGTCTTTTTAAAAGCTTGTTGCTTGATTTAGGATGAAAGATGATAAACAGTTTCAATCAATTCGCGAGCAACTAAATAATCTTAATAATGCGACCGATGACATTAATTTAATCGAAGCCAAACTGGACGTGCTACGACGGGATTTCCGGTTTTCAACTTTGTCTTTAAATTATGCTGAAAAATTTATTTTAGAGAAACTAGAGAACTGTGGACGAAAGAAAATAGTGGAATGTCGAAGAAACAGTTGAGGAATATTACAAAATCTCGCTTATATTATGAGCTGAAATCAAAAGTTGTAGTTTTTATTGAATTTTTCGTGCTATCGTTTTCAGGAAGAGCAGGCAAGAGTAGAGGCTCAAAAAGCGGCAAAGTATTTCGAACAACGATACTCAATTGTTGAAATGACGAAAGAAACTCTAAACGTTCTACAAAAATCTCTTTCTTCCGAGGTTGATCCAGATTTAGAAAAACAATACATTGACGTATGTTGTTTTTGAAAAGTTCTCAATGTAAAATTGCATTTTCTAGGTAATACAGCAACAATTGAAACTGGTAGCAGAAGCTGAAGAAGAATGTACAATTGCTGAAAATATTCATGCACAAAGAGTGAAGGATTTACTTAAAATAGAAGAAAATCTGAGAAAAGCCGCAAAGGATAATGAGTTCTCATTTTTTAGAAGCAAATTTTTATGTTCACGAATTTCAGACAATCAATAAAAAAATCAAAATTATACTACGAACGACAAAATCTTCTAAAGAAGCAGCTTGAACTGATAATGTCGCTGGAAGACAAAGTGCCAAAAAATTTTTGAAAATTTTCAAAATAATTTTGAAATTTAAGGTTCGTAATCAAAAAGAAAACTACAGTTTGTCGATGAGAATGTTGGAAAAGATAAGCGAAGAAATTCACATGGAACGATCTCAATTATTAAGCAATTCTAGCCAATTCGCAAGTTGCTCAATTGCTGAAAGTGAAGAAGACGACGAAGATAAAGAAAACGTATTTTTATAACCTCAAAACTGCTACTAAAGATTTAATAACCAATTTTTTTAAAAATTAATAACACCACACTATTGATTAAGCTATTTTTGTAAATATATATTATCCAATTGCAATGAATTCGTTAATGATTCGACCTCCGGTTATAATTCGGCATTTCGACTGCGGTATTTCGACAAAAACTTATCAACGTGTTCACACGCTGAGCTTTTTCCCATAGAATTCATATCAAAAGGTTTGCTTGCAAGCTCGCAAAGTTCACATCTTTCATGAGGTTCGAATTTTATATCCAATCTGAAGATTTTCTGTAAAAATAAATAATAATTGAGTTGGCACCGTCTAATTTGGCTTGTTGGCACCGCTTCCGGAATTATTGGAATTTGTTCATCGTCCGAATCCCAATTGAAATATCTTGTGTCGCTGAACCTTGAGCCAAGTTTTTTGAGCTGCAAATCGTCAACAATCAATTCGTGCTTGCTGGAATTACACAAAACGCCAGCCGACTTTTCGCCCACCAAATTGTCTTTATCTCGATAAAATCACACACTCTCAAATTTTTATGAGCGTGTGGGAGTGGGGGGAGAAATTCCAAACTCTCGTTAATTCCCTTATCAGCCAATAAAAAAAATTAATTTACTTTCGGCTTCACATCGTTGCTGTTATTCCGCATTCCGTCGTTTGATTTCCCGTCGATTGGTGTCCGTATGCGATCGACTGCGCTCGCCTCTTTCCACATCTCTTCCAACTCGCGTCTCATTTCACCTTTCTTGCGATTCTCCTCTTTGATTCGCTCCTCTTCGATCAATTTCTTGCGGATTTCGGATTTTTTCGCGTCACGTTCCTCATATTTTTGAGTCAAATCCAGAATTTGAATATCAGACGAGATTCCCGACGATTCTAAAACCAACATTTGAATTTCGTCTTGGAAAATCGAGATATTCGCAAGCACATTTCGGCAATCATTTTTTTTTTCGTATCCCTTTACTTTTTTTCGATTCTGCTCCAGATATAGTTTTTAATTTGCAGAGAGAAAAACCATATGTGATGATTTATATCATATATTTTTCAGTGTTGAGCTTTGAAATATTATTTTCAAAACTTCTCGACAATAAAGAAAAGTTTCTGAATATTTCGTATAGCTTTCAAAAATCAAGAGCCGTCAAAGCGGAAATTGATAAATTTCCGTAATTCGGGCTCCCTAGTTGACAACAACACGAAGATGTCGTTATTTTTGAAAGATTTGAACTCACTCGGTTTTCTCATGTGTGGTCGTAGGTCGTCTTCAGAAAGTGTAACGGAAAAAGGACGCGACGACATAATTTGGTCGAGAATATTGGAAATGAGCCCGATGCGATCCCCAGGTTTCCATGACTCGCCGCCACGAAGACGGACGTTTGTTGTTATTATTTATTTGCTGTTTTTTTTACCACTCGATTCTGTTCGTAACAGAATAAATAAATACTTGAGATTTCCCGCATGACACCATCAACCATGCAATCTGGGTTAATTTTTTTGATAGATTTTATTACCTGTTTCACTCCTGTGGCCTAATTCCGCTTATCAATGGTTTAAAAGTGGAAAAACGCCTTCGCACTTTGATTTTCTCGTCTCGAGTTTGATTTGTTCAAATAGTTCCACCCTAACCCTTGAAACTCTAGCCCTAATCCTCTTAGAGGTAAATTCTAATCGAACATGATATGTGAATGGAGTGTGGTCAAAAATAATGGAAATTCCGCTAAAAAATTTTCATTCTTTTCAGAAAAATTTCTAGCTTTAATATTTATTACTAAACAACATTTTTTAAAGTTAAATTGCTAGGGGTCGCAAATTTGTTTATTATTTTCGCGGCGAGACACTTGATACTGTAGCATTTGTTCAAGCGTTGTAGTTACAATTCGCAAACATTTTAAAACCGAGTGCTATAGTTTATTTTACGTTTGTCGCGTTAAATTTTTCTCGTTTTTCATTTCACATCAATTATTTTCGATTAGCGATGAGTCCAACGTATAACATCATACATTGTGGCAGCGAATTGGCAGATTTCCAAAACCATCGAACACCAAACGCAATGCTTTCACGTTCTATTAGAAAAAATCAGGTTTCAATCTTAAATGTTTAACAAATAGATAGATATCCCATTGAATCGCATGGAAATTAAAACATAATTTATTCAATTTTTCAATAATCTATTTATTGTAAAATTCGAATAGAATTTGCTTCATTTTGTTTGTATTCATTTGTCGGATTTCATGCAAATTGAGATGAATGGGCGGTATGCGATTAGATCTCATATACACACGCTCCGTACGGAAACCTGTCTGCGTTGACCGACTGGATTGATCGTCGGCTATTCATTTATCAACGATTACGTTTTTCGATTCATAGTAGATCCACCATTTTTTTTCTTGGGTGGACGATGATCTGTTGTGTATTGAATGCTATTATCTCCGACCGACTCGCTCTTGCCCGATTGTTGCATTCGCGTGGCGAGTTTGCACAAACCGTCACATACGAGCACACACACACACACATATACACATATTGCCGCCGGAGGTTATTCATAAATAGCGCCCGAGACCGAGAGAGAGGACAGCAAACGGCGGTTTTTCGTTGCGAGACGACGCGCGAGCGTTGGAAAATTGTGAAAAAGATGTCTTTTCACCGGGCCGGGAGGCCCTCCCCGCGAGTTCCGTCTATTTACGAAACGAAAGCAGCAAGCAACATCGATTCCCTTTCCTGTCCGTTTGCGGAAACCGTCCGCGCGCGCGCGCTCACTTTTTTTCATTAATCAGCTGCTCTCGCTTTTCGATCGCAGCGGCGATGGGTCAGCTGACAATTGTCATCGCACTTGCTTCCACGTTCAAAGGTCTTTTCTCGACGCGATTTCTTTTTTCAATAACGCTTGATGTTTCATTTTTGTTTGAAAACTGATAAAATTCCCTTATTCTTAAATTGAGAGTACAATATTCTATTAAATAAGTTAGCAATGTTCGGTCTTCGATTTGTAGTATCGAGAACGAAAAATATATTCTAAACCACAATTTTCATACAAACTTTGAAAGCTTTTTCAAATTAAAAAAATGCTAAATCACAACTATTTCTTCTATTTAAAATCGACCAATCAATTTATCTATTAATTGCTTGCGTTGTGTTTGTTATTGTTCTTCTCTGCTCATGTTTTCATATGTTATCGATTCTTGAATACATTGCTTCATACTATATTAGGAATTCATTTTGTGTGTCTTCTCCGCTTTCCCTCTTTATGATTCGTCTCAATTTAGACCAGATCGCAACGTCGGCCCACCAATTCATTCAAATGAATCAGGCGTGAAATTTTCGAATTAATTGGTTTCGAACTACTACACTTCCCCTTCAAATACCCCGCAGGCGATTTTTCGCCGAATCACGTGATTCTCGCAAAAACCCCTTACATATGGTATTCATAATACTGAAGCCAGTGTAAAACCGAATCATCTAAGATGATCATATGCGATACTCGAAAATCCGCAACGTCATGACGGATATGGTAGCAAACAAGGAAAAAGCGATTTTTCGAGGGTGCTGACTCGCATGTATGTGCTCTCCCTTCGAATGTTGAATCGAACGTTGAAAGTTTAATCCGCAATACCAATAAATCCTTTATATTCGACCTTACAATAGTTCAACATGCGGCCCGGCCCGATTCAATGGAACAAGTCGAAATTATTGAAACTCGTTTTATGTTGGATCCCAACAATAATTCGAGCTTTTCGTTCTCAGAACCCACTCTTTTTTCACTAATCCCTAATTGTGAAATTGAAAATTCCCATGAGAAGCCAAAAGTCGAAATTTTTTCGAATCATTCAATTGGGAATTTGCGGTTCAATCTTTGTTTGATTTCATTTCACGACGTGTTCGCAACACGTTCACACAAATTGGCCTAATCCTTCGCGAAAACGGCGACCAGTTGCTGGGATGTAATACAGTAATAAATCGTCCGATACGCACTCCACGATTCGCTCATTTGATATCAAAGAAGACGGCGAATCAACGGTTTTGTGTGCGCTCTAATCGTTTTCCGCCTCTCCATTTTGCATTGTCTCTCGCTTTCTAGGCTACTTCTTTCGCTTCGAGGCAGGCCTGAATAGCATCGATTTTTCCGGGAGAAACGAGTTGGACTCGATTCCACTCCATTATTTGTGTTCCTATGTCTTTTTTTGGTATCGTTGTGCTCGTTTTCGAAATATAGTCTTGTTCATTAAACGCCGTTTTCGCGATAAACGTTTCTTGCAATTTTTACTCGCCGACGCCTGGTAACATCGGCGAAACTATTCAAAGATAATGAGTCTCCTGATTGATAACAAGAAATTATCGCAGTATTATCATGAATGAAGTGTCTCATGGTAACCTAATTGACTCGAATGCGTTCATTACTTCTCAACTTCATAGTATGTCGCAAAAGGGCAATTGCGGGCACTTGAAACGACATATAAAAAACCCAAATTTCTGTAATCCTCATTATTCGATCTGCGTTTTTTTCTCTGTTTTGTTTTTGTTTCTGGGTTTCGAACGTGCGAAAAATAATAGTGCCTTTATTTGGCGGGCGAAAAAAAAACGATGTTTTGTTTGTGGAAAATTGCGCATGCAAACGTTTAACAATTCGTATTGCCCTGCAATTTTCAGTCAATATGTAAAATTTCCTTTTTGAAAAAAAAAAATGTAAAAATCAATCATCGGTTTTTTTCAAAAGGTCAACTATAAATATTATGTTTTTGGATGGAATTGTTTTAATGGTCCATAATAGTTTTCGTAATAATTTTATGCGTTCGGAGAAATACTATTTCATTCTGCAAATGTTTAGAGGCGTTTAAAAACTTTTCTTCTATTAATTTGATTTTGCATCATTCAGGCCAAAATAACAGTTTACTGATAACGAAAATTCACGTAATGCATGACTAATAATCGCCTTATATGATTGACCTAAAGTTTTCGTCATTTCTCGAAACTTTGACCCTCTAAAGGGTCTGATGATGTCGTTGCTGATTTCTTAACTAGGCGAAACTAATGAAAATGTCGTCGTCCCTCATGACAATGCTCCGTGGTATACGTCATTTGGCCATTTGGTCGTGGCTCAATTGGTTTCGGCGTTGGTACACATGTGAAATGAGCCAACCATTCTGTTATTTCTCCACTATAATAATAACGAAGCTTCGCTTTTTGTTTTTTTTTTTTGGCGGAAAAAATTATATAAATGGCGGTTGGACGGCGACCAATTCCCAATGTGTATGCCTCTCAAATTTTTGTTCTTTAGATCTCGAAAGAGACCACACGATCGTTGTGTTCCATTCGTTCTCCCATTGCCGGCCAGTCGGCCGTCCATCTTTTTTTTCCTTCTCATTTTCGATTTTGTGTCATTCGTTGATTTTCGTGTAAAACGTTCGCTTGTCTGAACACATTTTCTCAACTACTGATTCATTTCTGCCTTTTTTGTGGTGTTTTATATTTCAAATTCGACGAAACACACCCTTTTCATATTAATCATTAGTTCAATCGCACCTTATTTGGTGAATAATCTGGCGCAAGATTATTCTGAATCATATCGCATTAGGGCGTTAATCGGAGTAAAAGGATAAAAGCTTTAAGGAATTTATAAGTATTTTTGAGTTCGAATGGTCTAGAATGATTTAAGCCGGAAATCCCAATCGTTAAATACTATTCCAGATTTCTTTTTTTCTTTTTTAAAAAAAAATTGATCACGTAAATTAATTGAATGTTACGTAATTACAGGGGGTTGACACGTGAACAAATATTCGAAAGAAGAGGAAGTCCGTGAGCCATCCCCCGTTTTGTTCTCCCAGCGCAAGGAATTCCAGAAAATTTAATAATCGAATAATAATAATAATAATAACAACAAAAAAGAATGACACATTCGCCAGACGTTCCGCTCGAGGCACCGTCTCTTCTCAACATCGCATCTCAATCATTGGATCAGGAGGCGCTGGTTTGAAAATTGAAAATCGCACCATAATGAATTATTTCGACGATTTTGCAGGATGCTCTTGAGGAAATTCATCTGCCGTTGCCGGTGAGTCACGCGTTGTTCAGAAGATTCCGACAAAAATGGAATGCGTATAAAACGACGAGGGTGAGTGCGAAACGAAACATTCAAAAATGCACGTACATAATTGTGGTTGAACGTTTGAAAAGTAGAGGGGGCAAAATTTCTGTGCGAAACAAGAAATTTTCGAAAAGAGAAAATTTAAGTTTATTTCCATGTGGTCCAGTTTTTCTCTTTTAATAAGATGAAGTTTCAGGTAGCCATGGAGGATCCGAGTGACGAATTGCAAAGAATTTCGGACATGCAAAGAGTGATTCGATCGTGGTGCAATTCGAAGCGTCTTCCACTTACCAAAATGAATTTGACGGGTGCAGTGGTAGGATCTGTCGGCTTCATTCTAAAATTGAACGTTTCCTCATTTCCAGATCGATGACAACCTGTTTGTAGATATTATCTCGGCGCACCAAGATGATATTACGGAATTAGATTTGACAAATGTTGAGGTATTCAGAATTATTGTATGATGAAAAAGTTGAGTTTTTGAATGTTTAGGGAATCACCGATGAGGCGAATGCACTTCTTGATTCGAAAAATGTCTATCTTCCGCAACTGGCGTCGATTAAGCTCACGTCAATGGAATTGCTTACGAAACCGCCGCCGAGAAGAAAAATGGGAATGGCGTTTGATGTTCGCAATGTGCTCATGCTTGGAGAAGAAGCTCTGGAAGAAGCAGGACGTAAGAGAGATAAATTCCCAGAATATTTGATGATTTTCCATTTTTTTTAGCTGGTCTTGACAATATGCGCGAAAATCGAGGTGGACCCGGCAACCGTGGTGACGGATTCTTTCTTGTAATCGATCCTGATCAACCAATGCAGCAGCCAGCGTCTCCGGTCGACGAACTCATGGAAGATGAGAAGGATGAGATCGAGCGGGAGTTCCCTGTATTCACATCGAGATGCCCGAACGTTCAGAGATTGTTGCTTCCAAAATTGAAAAAAGGCGTTGAGGATTCGGATTTATCGACGAATGAAGTTCTGTCGAGAATTCTCGATCCGCTCAAACAACTCGACACCTTAGATTTGTCGTATTGGACAAAGATCGATGATTTACGCTGCATTCATCCACTGCATCAAACTCTGACAACATTGATTCTTTATGATGTTCCCGACCTCTACCACGCCATTCCAACGATTACTCAAATGGGAGAGTTGAGATGTCTCGATATTTCGCAATCGCAACGCGACACCGCCATCTATCCGCGTCCGGTTTCGACTCTCAATCATATCGTCACTTCGCTTCCATACCTTACACACCTTGACATCTCTTCGACTAATTTGGCTGCTCAGCCGAGCGCCAATGATTGGCCAGTGAAAAGTGAAAAGTAAATTTATCTTTTCTAAGCGACGTTATTCATATTTCTGATTTTTAGTGGAATTCGATCGGATATTGTCGGCCTTCAGTCGTTGAAAAAACCACTCTCATTCCTTGGACTTTTCAATTGCGACAACGCTGGCCATTTTTGCGAGATCCCTGCCGAGCGCATTTCGGGAGATGCCACTGAGAATCAGGTCATCACCGCTCTTCAGATGTACAAAGAAAGAGCCGGTCTTCTTCAATCGGTGTTGAATGAGAGCTATCAATTGTACAGATTTGGAAACACCTCGCCAATAGTAAGTGCTTCCGAATTCCCGGGGAAACTATCAATTCAATTTTATATTCAGACTCGTCACACCGAAGCGCTTCATTTGGTTCTTGACGCGATGCAACGCCATCTTCATGACAGCACTCTGCAGATTGCCGGCTCCGCTAGTCTCTTCTACATAATTCGCAAAGTTGATATGAATCGCGACACGAAGAAGCAAGTGGTGAGCGCGTTGCTCAGTGGAATGGAAGTGCACATGGAGGAGCAGGTGATGGTCCGGAATTGTTGCCTCTCGTTGTGTCAATTCGAAATTCCACAAGATATTCTTTTTGATTACAGGTAGATTTAGATTTTTGTTTCGAAAGTCGTTAAAATTGAAATATTTGAAGCCGTCTTGCGGTCCTTCTCGTCACTGTTCTTCAGCATCACAATGCTGACAATCTCACGCAGAGAATTGTTGTTTTCTTGTTGAATTCGATGGCGTGCCATGTTGAAGGAGATCAGAAGGTGCAAGTTGGAAGTTTTGGAGCTATTGAGGTGATTCCATTTTTTAAATCTAAATTTCATGATTCTTTTTTTCAGATGATAATAGACCAAATCGCTCGCAAACACAATGGAAACACTTGCGACGATGTGATGGAAGTTGGCTGGAGTTTCTTGTGGAATATAACCGATGAGACGCCGGTGAATTGCGAAAGATTCTTGAACGCCAAAGGGCTTGACCTTTTCCAAAAATGCTACGAATCGTTCCGCAATGAGCGTGAACTCGTTCGCAATATGATGGGATTGATCGGCAACATCGCCGAAGTTGATGAGCTGCGATCGCAATTGATGAATGATGATTATGTGAAGATTTTCTGGTAATTGACTTGTTGCATTCATTGTCGTCAATTGATTTCATTTTTTCAGCGCGCTTTTGGAAACTCGAGAAGATTCAATTGAAATTAGCTACAACTCGGCAGGCGTTCTCGCCCACATGGTGTCTGACGGCGAAGAGGTCTGGAAGCCGTTGGCGGTCTCACGCGATTACGTGATGACGTGCATTGTGAGGGCGACGGCGAGCTGGCAACTCGACACCCGTCGCTTCATCAACTATCGCTCATTCCGTCCGATCCTTCGTCTTTTGCCATTATATCATGCCTATGCAAGCCAGCATTGGGCTGTTTGGGCGTTGGCCAACCTCACAACAACTGATGGAGAGAAGTGAGTCGTTGCATTTTGGAATAATTAATCAATTATCGGAATTTAGATATTGTCCATATGTTCGTGATGAAGGCGGCCTTCCTCTTCTTGAGGAACTTGTTCGAAATGAGGCAACGACGGTCGATATTCGAATTTTGGCGCAAAAAGTGCTCGATAATATTAAAAGGACAGAAAAGATGTGAGTTTCTGGTATTTAAAAAAAAATTTTTGAATAATTTTGAAATTAAAGAAAAATGATTCGTGCTTCTCCTGAAATTTGCTGTGAAGATGAGCCGATGGATATTGAAGTCTGAAATCAAATCAAACATTTTTTTTAATCATTTTGTTTTCAATTATTTTTCTTTTTTCCAATATTGTGTCCGAAAACCGAAATGCCTGCAATTGAACTCATCCGGGTAATAATTATGCGCGAAATTGGTCCTAACACGATTCTAGTTTAATTGTCTCTTGATTGAATTCACTCGTCAAATCGATATCAACTGTGATGCCCAAGAGACAACAATGCCAATATAATTCATTCAAAGTGTTTCTTTTTTTTTTCTATTGGTGCGAACTCTCTCCCTCAAACCTCTTGCTTATTTATTCTCCTCATATTCTGTACATTATGCCCGAAAATGCCCAATCTGTATGTTCGTTTCTCTTATTTTCTCGCTGTACTGTCACTGATTTCTTCTTCATGCGATTCAGAAAAGATAAGAAGTTTTTTCCTTCGCTTTGAGAAAAATCATTATATGGGGTTGGGCACGGTGTCCCTCCATTTTTTCAGTCTTGTATCTAGAATTTGCATAGATGCCTCATTTGAACACTTGTTTAACCGATTATGTGCCCATTTTTTAATTACTTTTTTCGTTTTTTTTTTTCTGATGACTATTGTAGTTGTTCGCCTTATTAGCTTTGCAATATGCTTGCAAATATGATAAAATCATTATTTTATTTTTGAGCTGATATCACACATTGGACCACCGAAGCAAATTTTTCATCTATTCAAAAACTTGACAATATCGTCAAATCAAAAATAACTCTAATTCGTATTTTGATTCTTTCCAAATTTCTTATTTCTTGCAAACTTGTTTTGAATTATTGAAATATTGTTTGGTAATTAAAACCTCTAGAAAATATGATAAAATCATTGTATTATTCTTGAAGTGATATGAAACTTGATTCTAAACAGCTAATAATCGGGGTGTAATCAAAAAATTAAAGCTCATCCACGTATGGGACATTGGAAATGTTTCCGTAAGAAGCAATCGACAACTTCGAAAAGGCTTTCTTAGCAAGCGATTCAACGTCACTGGTGGAAACCTGAAAAAAAGGATCGAAATAAGCTTTACGAGATTTTTCGTACCTTTCCAATTGCTGAAATAAGCTCGGCGGTTGATGGGCCGCCCGAAAGAGCAGCGATCGCCTCTTCCAATGCATTAGTAGAACCGCGTTCAGATCTTGTAAGAATGTCGTTGATAGCGCAACGTTTGGCAGCTTCAATATTTGAATTAGGAAACATTATTATTAAAATCTAAACCTTCAAGATCTTGAACTTTAGCGGAACGAAGAGATGCCACAGTATTCTTCACAGACGACTCTGCATTAGATCCGTTGGTGAGAATGTAAACACCAACAAGTCCAGATTGGTCGTGAATTGCTTGGAATGCACTTCCGACGGTGCCCGAGGGCAACTTTCCGAGCAAACTGTTCGTTCCCGGCAACGATGAGAATTTGAGTGGTGAAGTTTTTCCAATAACTGCCTGAAGAACGGCTTGGGCGGCTAGCGACTTGACATCGTTGCTGGAAGCTCCTTGTCCAGCAATAATGATGTGAGCATCTTTTCCATTTGCATGACGACGGAAATTTCCTCCGCGATATGGCGATTCTTTAACAGCGACAGATGATCCATTTTCGATCGCTCCCGATTCGTCAGCATACAATTTCAAAGTAGCGGCATCGACATTGTATCCAACAATAACACCATTTCCAGAAACAAAGTGTTTCTCCTATAAAAATTACATAGAAAATAAAATAATACAATTGGAAAACCGCAAATTTGCAAAGATCCTTCGATTTCGACGAGCCAACTTGCCCCTTCGTCGCATAAACAGAATTAGCAAGAGCTCCATTTCTGTAAGCAGCGCGATGAATATCTTCAAATACAACGCTGTACGGGTTTTTGTGGGCAATATCGGCGTACAATGTTGGAATAACCTAAAATAGAAATAATAATATGGATAATGATTTGATTCATACATCTTCCATTTCCCATGGTTTGAAAGCTGGCTTAGCAGCAGTATGGCCCAAAATTGAAAGAGCATAAGCAGCCTTATCGCGTGGAACAGTCAAATGGACACCGAAAACATCTCTTGTGGAGAACGCTTTCTGAAAAATGAAGAACGTATTTATGAAGCAAACATGAAGCAAACCATGCTTGCTCCACTGGCTGCGGCTGACCAAACTAATTGCAGTCCAGGGTATGATTGGACGTCACGACCGACAAAGTTTCGGACGTGATGAACAAGCCCACCTTGTTCAGGCGACTGGTAACGAGATCCAGCACGAAAAGCGAGAACCTAAAAATATTGAAAGAATAGAGAAAAAAGTGAAACTAAAAATATTACCAATTGACTGACTGGTCCATTGTTATCTTGAGACACAACAGTCAATCCATTGGCAATTTTGCCCTTCGTAAAAGAAGAATCGCGCTGAACACGTGCGGCAGCAACACTTCTGGCAACGGCCGAGCTTCGCATGATGTTCGTTAAAGCACCTGCAACACAGTCGGTTCGAAAAATGAATTTGACTTTAAAATAATAATAATAATAAATAAATCATTAATAGTACTAGCGATAAGCTCAAAAAGTAATTAATCCGAAAAACTGCTTGTATCATCATTTCTTTCTGTTTTATCTGAAAAATTCCAGACGATGAAGGTATGGTTTGCGACGATTGACAAACAGCAGCATTTTGTTTTATGTTATATTTTTAGGAAATACCTCGGTAATTTAAAAATCAAATGAAAATGATCGTGATTGTAAACGAAAAAGACCTGAGAAAGTTTCAATGATGGATCTCTTCAGTGTTCGCAAATCTGCCGAATTTGTCATTTTTACCCAATGCAGTCATGTAAAATTTGTGAGATATTACGCAAAATTGACAATTTCGACGTATTTGCATTACGCTGATCAGATCCCTTAAAAAACGAGGACGAAATTGAGAAATTCCGACTGGCTGGCGGCGCAGACGCACAACACACCGAACTTTACGCCACTTTGCACGCATTCCTTCTACAGTACTTTCAATAAATAAAAAACAGTCAGTTTATGTTTTAAAAGAACTGCCAGAATCGGCTGCTGCTGCAAAAAAAAAAACAAAAATTAATTCTAGCTATTCTGTTTTGTTTTAATCTGTTCACTCGCAAGGCGGTAAAAAATGAACTTAATAAATTCAAAGAATGCGAAGTAAACTTTAATCTCTGAAAAAAAAACAACTTTAAAATCTGCTGGAAACAATTTTAAAGACCACAATGTTAAAAATAATTATTAATTTTAAATTACCTAATTGCCGTTACTAGATTTTTGTTATAGAGAATCCCTGCCACGGTGCTTCGATATTTTTTTTTCAAAATAAAATTAAAAGTGAATTGAGCCATCCATTTATAAAATCTAGTCACAATTGTATGTAGAATACAATTATTAATATAATATGTTGATATTAACAAGGAAATCTACCAAGAAGAACTGTTTTGATAAATAACTTCAATAAAATTTTGGAAACAATAAAATAAATATCATTGGGAACAGAAAAGAGAAAACTACTTTAGATAAATCAAAAAAATGAGGGGGAATCTTCAGGGTCGAGCGCAAATCATGAACAACCGAAGACAAAAATTATTGAAGAACAAGTCCAATTTGTTTCGGCTTCATGTCAGCACATTTCCAATTGTAAAGATAATATTGCAAGTTTCCATCGCCAATACCGAATTTGAGATCTTTGAAAACTTCCTCATTATGCATGAGGTCTAACGCGTTGAAAACATCGAACTTTTCCTGAAATATAGTTCCAATTTTACGCAATAGACAAATTCTTCTCATTACCTTGTTCGCCATGATGAGAGCATCATTTATGAGCTGCTTAAGTGGCACAGTTTCGTTGACATAGTAGTACAAATAAGCAGCATTGATCTTGCTATGATTCGCATGACCCATAACAGTTGATGGCAAAGAATAGAATGAGACCATATCAGTGATTTTTCCATTTTTCGACTGGACGACATAAGTATAAACGACTCCATCGCGTGGGAGAAGCATGTGGCTAACCTCCTCGTTGGTATCAAAAATCTGAATAAATGAAAAATGATGAAAACATAATTAAAATTATTCCGAATTACCGGTGCCAATGAAAATTGTTCCAAACTTTTTGCAAGAATCTTGCAAACAATTGGAACATCGCTTTCGACCATTTTTCGGAGTCCCGGCGTCATCGGCTCGTCAGGCAACTTGTAAAGCTTGATCGTTCGCGCCATCGTCATTTTGTTGGACAAATGCGAGAAACGAACTTCAATCAACTTCTTTGGATTGAGCGAACGATGGTAGTAGCGGCAAATTGCTACCGGTTTTGGGATGACGATTCCAGCAGTGAAGGCAGCTTGGAAGATGCCCTGCTGATTGACCCGACGAGTAATTTCTCGGATGAGAACAGGAGTGACACGCTTTGATCTGAAATAGACGAAAAATGAAAAAAAAAACACACACACATACGAAATCAAAATTTACCTCAATTTCTTGTGAACACAAAGGAAATTGATTTCTACCATTTGAACGGTTTTCTCATAAACCCGAATTTTTTGCGGAATCGCTCCGATGAAAGCAAGAAGACGCCCGCTGGAATCACCACGAACACCGCAATGCCATTGCGGCAAAAATCCAGGGACTTGAAGAGCCCATTTGAGGAAGTCGGCCGAATAATCAAAACGGAACATCGCATCATCATCCTCGACATAGTTCTCAGTGAGGAGAGTATAAAGCTCGTGAAGTTGTTTTTCATCATTCAAGTCCACATTGGTCCACTTGAAACCTTGTGGAAGCGAATACGGCTCCTGTCGAACCTTATCTTTCGGGATGTCCGGCTCAATCGCGGTATTCACGTCTTCCGGAACGAGCTCATCGATGCTTGGCACCGGTTGCGTGCTCCAAAATTGGTATTTCTTCGAACGAGCTTCTTCGACATCGCGCGGAGCACTCGTAACGTTTTGAAGAGTTGAAACATCAACACCAGCAGCGCGCAATTGTTCCATCAACTAAAAAATAATTGGTTAAAACTAAATTAACACCCCAACTATAGGTTTGGAGCTCCCCATCATGAATAAATTGGCGCTAGTTAATTTTGAGAGAGATTAAACTAAGTGGGGTGTGAAACCAAATAAATGAATCCAATTAGTACTTCCACAGTGGGAATGGGATGCCAATCTCTTAGCTTCGACCCTTTCATAAATGGGTCCCCCCACACACTACCAGATTTCAAGCCCCCACTTTCCTCACTTATTTAAACAGCCCGCGTTCACATTTTAGTTGAACCCCCTGACATCTTAATTGAGCCGCCTTTCTCTGAGCATAACCTGAGCTTGTAAAAAGATAAAAACTTTTCGACAGGAATACGTTAAGACAAAAATTTAATTAGAAAACGAGATAAAATCAGAAGTAATATAGACCGCGCAAATTTTAAATAGCAGAATCTTCTCGTAGAAAACCATCTAAACCGTGCCATTAAGGTTTGATTTTTCTGCAGGCGAACAAAACCAGATATTCTTGCTGGGGAGCTCAATTTAGATGTATGGCGGGCTCAACTAAGCGTTTACCAAGAAATTTTTAATATTTTTAAAAATAAATGAAATTTATACCGCTTGGAAATCATGCACAGATGGTCTACTACCTCCAGCACCATCGTCATCGTGATGTCCTCCACATGGAGCTCCGTCATGACTATGACCGTGCGACATTTCCCCCTAAAAATATGATGAAAAGCATAATGATCGTAAAAATTTTCAACAAACACTATTCAGCAAAGAAAGACATTTTTATAAACGAAAAATATAAATTTTATGACAGCATCCAGGATTTTAAATCGTAAAATGAGTGTGATTATGCAACAAAATCAATTCGGATTTAGCGAAAAGTAGGATGCGGTTGAATCATTGCCTTTCGGTGTTTGCACCTAATACACAACACCTCACGACACCCCTCTACTTCTCCACGTCTCACAAGTAGCTTTAATAAAATTGTGGTAAAGACGCTTTGAGAGACAACATAGAATCAGAATACGATATAAATATTTTTTTGAAAAATAAAGAATAAAAAATTCATTACACATCTCTTGCTAATGGAAAAACTTCTTAGCAATTAGAAACACGTGCAAAAAAAAATGATAAACGCAATGATAAAATAATCGAAAGTGTCGTATTTTATTTTCAAGAATATTATCGGTTAGCAATAATCGCTGAATAAATGGATTTCAAAGTTAGGACAAAAGGCCTCTGGGTTTCTGGCAAGAACTATATTGTTGGGAATGCGGCGAGTTTGGCAAACGGCGTCAAATTTGAGGACATGTTCAATGTGTATGCCTATTATGGTGTAATAAAGCAACCAATTATTTGCAGTTTTTAATCGTCAATCGTTTTAGAAATTAATTGTTCCAACCGCTATCGAATATTCTGTTGACTGCATCGTTGCCTTCTTCCTGTTCCACATTTATTTGTTTTACGTGTTGGTGATTACATTGGGACGAGCTGTAGTCAAACGATTTAAGGTTGAACAACATTCGGAAAGAGTTAAAAATGGAAAAAAATATTTAGTTGAAAGGCTCACAAGTTGTTCCTGAAATTGGAGCGTTCAAACAAAAAGCGGGCCTAATTTTAACCTATTTTTTCGTGTGCCAATCAATTTCTCGTTGGACTCTTGGAGCATCATTTCTGGATAAAGTAATGGGATGGGTATTTCAAGTGAAACCGCAAATCAATTTTAAACCGCAAATAGTAAAACGCTAAAAAAAATGTGCTGGTGTTTAACGCAATTTTTTAGAAAATTGCGAAAAGTGAATCAAATAGTTCACTGGTTTCGATGAAAAGCAAATTTGATACTTCGATCAATTGTGGATTTGAATCGGAAGATGAGGATACGCGGAAGGCGATCAAAAATCTCTCGATTGCATCGAACGGTCTAGACTTTGTCTCCGATTTTACCGCCGCCGTTGCCGGAACACACAAGCAGAAGAAGGCGAAGTCGGCGGCGAGTTTAGCATCGATGGAGCAACTCGACGAGTCATTCGAGGTATTATGGAAGAATGACGAATGTGAAAAACTGCAGCGATATCCTGTGCATTGTGTGCGTACACCGAATCGCGCATCTCGATCTTACCTACAGTAATTTCCACTAAAATTATTTAATAATTTATTATTATTTTTAAATTTTTTCTTTGTTTTCTTGGCGAATTTATGGTTTTATGTATACTGTTGTGTTGAAAAAGTTTAACAGTAATCATTTTTGTATATTTTCAAAGTTAATCGTTTCATATAAAAAGAAACGATAAATAATTAATTAAATAATTTTTAGTTGAGATTATTGTAGCTAATATGGAGATGTGCAACTCGGTGTACGCACACAATGCATAAAATATCGCTGCAGTGTTTCACAATATAACCACGCAATTAACCTTATTGAATTTTCAACGATTTTCAGAGCGAAGCCGATGTATCGTTGCCTCTCGAAGAGGAAACCTCAATGAGTTTGGTTGAAAAATGGCTTGCCGGACAAAATTCGTCGGAAACCAAATCAGTGAACGATTATTTGCTCAAGCTGGTCGCACAAGATGTTATCAGAAGGGTATTCGATTATGAAATTCGGTAAAAATTATTGTTTTCAGCAATCATTCCATATTCGAGCAAAAAATGGGCAAAATGCACTGAGAAAATCGGAAAGTCATACAAGTGTTTGAGCTAACTAATTATTGCAATTTCTCGTTGAAATAAGACGATGAAGATGATTCTGTTTTAAAGGGTGGTACTTTTAATTATAATATGTATAAAGAAGGCTATTCGGAACAATATGCACGACAACAATGCTCAATTATGGTAATTTTGAGGTTACTTATTGGAGAAAAAAAATAATGCCAGATTTTGTCCGAACTTCGAGATTGTAAAATTGTCGTATCCGATTGATAATTTGTCGTATTCGATTAGATTTTCTTCGTATCCGTTTTGTTTTAATATTTCAATTCGATTCGGATTCGACAAAAAACCAATCTTATCCGTAGAATTACCAATCGGATACGACAATTTTCCAATCTTAATCGTAGAATTTCCAATCGGATAAGGTTAATTCTAGAGCCGAATTTTGTCGAATCCGATTGGTTTTGAGTCACCAGAGAATTCGTTCATGTCGCTAACCACGATTTGAAAAATTATCTAATTGTATTAGAGAAAATCTTTAATTTTCCCCCACCAACTTGTGGCCTCTTGAATATGTATACAACAATCATAAATAATAATAATAATTTATATTAAACTCAATCGGGAACACTCTTTTCATAAAGTAATAAATTATAAATTAATTGAATAAATTAAATATATAAATATTGTTCTTCTTTGGGGGGAGAGGATTCCACATGGAATTACGATTTCTGTCAGCACACAACAATAGAAATTTGACTCTTTGAGAGAGGGGGGACGGGTTTTGATTTTAGAAAAGAAATGGGAGAGAGAGAGAGAGAGAGAGGGACACGATTGGCAATCGGGTATAAGAAAGACGGGGGGGGGGTGAATACGAGAGTAATTGATAATAAATATTATAAAAAGAGAATCAACGACAAGTAGGAACAACAGGAAAGAAAGTCTTAATTGAGCTCAACAGTCAGGTACTATTAAAATAGAATGAGGCGCGTAGGCGAGCGAACGCCGCCGCGATTGGTTTCGATGTTCTGCCTCAGACGCTCACGCTGTTCTGGCTCGTTTTGTCTTCGATTGCGTCGATAACTGGATCGTCGTTCATTTGGAAAGCTGCAAGCAATCATCATTATGGATGAAATCGATCGTTAGCGTGTTAAATGAGGACGAGTTGCCATGCGAATGTTGGTGTGTGTGTGCTGATGGAAGGGGGGAAGCCCAATTGACTAGGTGCTTACACTTTCGTCGAATGCATGCGATTCCTTGAGAGTAGGCGATCGGCGAGCATTGGCACACGCCGGCGTGGCACATCGAGAGGCCCTCGCCATTGCCGACGCATTCGTTGTCGATCATACAGCGGGCGCCGATCGGACGCGGCGACGCTACATTTCATTGCGTTGTTTTTTTTATTAAATTCTTGCAAAGGAGAAATGGTGTTTGTTTCACTTACGTGACCCGACGCCGCCGAACGGGCCGGCGATCGGTGCGCTCGGCTGTCCCGGCGGACAGCACAAGTTCAGCGAGGCGACGCATTCGAATCCGGTGCCGCACGAGCCGTTGGCGAAGCAGCCGCTGACCGCCGTGTCGCCCGACGGGCATTTGCCTGCAATTGCGCACCGATAGGAGGACGCGGCATGCAAAGGAAAAATACTTTGCAATTGTTTCTGCTGTTGGCCGGGCGCGCAACACTGTCCGTTGTGGCATTCGAGGCCGAGTCCGCACAGGCCGTTCATGCATGGTCCCGACGAGAGTGAGCCGTCGGCGCACGAGGAGGTTTGGAAGCCGCCGGCGCGCGCTGGGAAAAAACAATCGGATCGAGAGACATGACGCATCAATCATCACCGCATGCAATCAATCAACGAAAAGAAACATTGAAAAAATAAAACCCCCGGTGAATTGAGAGAGAGAGAGAAAGAATCGGCATGGGCGTTATGAAGGATAATCATCGGTTGAGTAACTCACGTGGCATGTAGCTGTGAAGTGGGCGTCCGTAGACGGGCTTCTGCGCGCCAGCAGCCTTTCCGCCTGCGATTCGTCGACGCGAGAATGCCGCCGAACAGCAAATGTTGGCCTGGAAGTTGCATGTGTAGCCGGCTGGGCAGGCGCCGGTGTCGTCGCATTCTCCGATCTGCTGGTCAGCAGCGCAGAGTCCTTGTGCTGCAACATCGACTCAATTGATTCTCCAAACTCGAATTGCTTGACTTACTGCATTGAAGATCGATGCATGTTCCTGGATTGACTCCGTTGTTGATGAGCGGGCTGTTCGGGATGTAGACGACAACGTATCCCGGCGGGCAGAGACCGTCGATGGCCGGTCCCACTTGGCACGCTTCGTTGTTGTAGTCGACGACCGGGCAGCAGTTGCCGTTGGTGGTGTCGCAAGCGTATCCAGCCTGGCATCCGCCGTTGTTGCCTGTTCCGTCGCATGGTCCGATGGCGATTTCGTCAGCGCACGTGACAGCGCCGGCACCGCCGCAGCACACACCGTTCGTCAGAGTGGTTCCGGCCGGGCAGACATTGTTGACTGGCGGGGTTCCAGCGGATCCATCTGGGCACGAGGACGAGCAGCAGAGGTTGCCCTGGACGGTGTATCCGGTTGGGCAGAGTCCGTTGATGGCTGGTCCGAGTGGTTCGCCGCCGTTCGGGCAGCTGTTGATAGCGCAGCAAATGTTACCAGTGGTGCAAGTGTAGCCGGAACCGCAATAGTACGAGACCTGCGTTCCGCCGCAAGCGTTTCCTGTGCACGATGGGATGCAAGCTCCGACGGCTTCCGATCCGTCAAGACATCTGACAGTGTTGGTGGTTCCAGCGCAGCAAAGTCCGTTCGAGCACGTGTATCCGGAGCCGCATTGGCCGTTGACGCATCCGCCAGCGGCTTGGGTTCCATCAGGGCACACTGAAAATACATAACGCATCGTTTCAAATTGTCAATTCGTTCAGAATACCGAATGGGTTGGTTGTGGTGGTTTGTGGGCAGCAAGCATTGTTGACGCATTGGTATCCGCTAGCGCATCGTCCAGAAATGCAAGCTCCAACAGCACTGTTTCCAGATGGGCACGTGTCTATGAGATATGAGGATATGCTCAAGGTTCGCTTAGATCAAATCGCTTACAAACGGAAATTCTTGGCGGAGCCGAATAGGACGGACAGCATTGATTCTGAACGCAGGTGTAGCCGGTGGCGCAGAATCCCGACGAGCAGCTTCCGACCGAGTAGCCACCTCCCGGGCACGAGTTTTGTGCTGAAGTAGTTTCATTACAAAATTGAGATCAACCCGACGCCTCCTTACGAATCGTGATGATTTGCGGGGTGTTCTGATTGCATCCGACGCAGTTGCTTCCAGATCCGGCAACTGAAAACAACAACAAACAGTATGATGGCTAACACGGGGGGGGGGAAATGAAAGGAATTTGGTTAAAGTGCGATCAAGGTTAAAGATTACGGCATCCACAAGGGTAGGAGCTCATCGGCTGCTGCTTCTCTTTCGGCTTGCGTCGTCTCGACGATTTCTTTGGATTTTTTGGATCGACAAGCGGTAGGATCATCGGGCAACATAGGCCGGAACTGAGATCACAATGAAGGCCAGCCGGGCATTCGTTGGCTATCGAGCACACGAGTTTCGACGTGAATCCACCTGCGCATGTGGCTGGAAGCAATTAAACGTGTGGTTAGACGAAACGCGCATTTCGTGTCATACTTCCATCGCCGCTGGCTTTCACAAGAACCTCGTCGAGATTCGCCAAATGCTCCGGAAACCCGTAGCCGGGTGGTCCGACCGGAAAATCGGCGACCGCTTCCGTCAGAAGTGTGTCAAACTCTTTTTTAGTGGGTTTCTTGTGCTGTTTCTTGTTGCGATTATTATTATTATTATTATTAATATTAAGAGTTTTCGATTTGGTTATGGATTTTGGGTTAGGTGCGATTGTGGATGTGATGGTGGTTGCGGTGGTGCTCGTTGCGTTATCTGTAAGTAAGCATGGGAACAAAACAAAACAAGGAATCAAGCATTCGGATTAGGGCATATTGTCGACCTACCAATGATGGACGGCGCCGAGTTCGACGAAGAGCTGCAGCAATAACCGTTGTTGCAAGTTCCGACGCTGCATGGATTCGAGTTCGAGCAGCTCGAGAAGGTGCACACAAGTCCACTAGCCGGTTGACCTACAATGATTGGGATCGATATTAAGATTCTCGACAATTCACTGAGCATGCGATTAGATTTATTTTCTAAACGAGGGGGTTGTTAGTTTAAAGTTAGTACACGTTTCGCTTCCGACAAGATTTTCTCCGATTCGTTCTGAAATTCTCGATTGACGATTGACGAGCATTGATCGACTGATTGATTACCTTATGAAGTCCGCTTCGACACCTGACAACATCGACCTTGAGAATTGCAGAAATACGGCGATGGGCATTGTAGGCTATATCGACACGATTTGCCGAATCTTGGCTCAACTTCGACCGATCCCATCGGACAGGAGGCTTGAATTTGGTCTGAAATTCAATTTTCCGAGATGATTTTTTCGACGAATTCCAGGCAGGTCACCTTCGGGAAAATAGCAACACGCGTGATATTTGCCTTCGAGCAATGTGCACTTGTGCGACGATGACGGACAATACTCGCTGGTCGACGTCGAATTGCAAGAAGTCTCGGGAACCGTCCCATCGGGACATCGAACACCCAGTCGACAGCATTTTCCCGATGTTGAGCACGTGAATTCCGGAGGGCATAGCGTGCGAATGTCGCATTTTTGCGAAGAAAGGCATTTCTACAAAAAAAAAGAAACGCAATGTTGATTCGAATCATCTAGAAATCATACATTTTTCTCTAGAGAGATTCCGGTTTGTTCGGTTTTCTTCCACACTTTTGCGCTCGACAGCGTTACGATGGGCTCGATTCCAATAGAGGTCGGTTCGGGCTCGTCAACTCCTCCGGCCGCCGTCTTCTCCGACGCCAACGGACAGCATTTTCCGTATTCGCAGCGCGAGGCGATCGGACAATCATCGGAAAGATCGCAGACGGCCGGAATTGAGAGCGCCATCAATCCATTGGCGCATTTCGCCACCGGCGGAAGTTTGCAGCAGATTCCGGCGAGGCATTCCGACGATTCCGGACATGCGTTATCAATATCGCATGATTCGACGCGATTGTCGACGTCGCAATCCGATTGATTGCCGTATCCTGAAGAAGCGAGAACCGCGAGATCCTCGGATTTCGATCGCGGGCAACATCCACCGAATATGCACACTTCATTGGCCCGACAATGGTATTGCGTTCGACACGTGAATCGTACCGGCGCGTCGGTTCGCGGGCAGATCGCCAGACGGCAACACGAATGCTCGCAGAGGAACGACGTCGGACAATCGGCATCCGATGAGCAATTGGCGTTCGTCCCGCCGCATGGCGCTGATGGCTCTGGAAAAATTTGGGTTTGTTTTCTCAAGACCCTTCAACTTTCGATATTTATTGACTTGCCAAACAAAAGCCGCGGAGGCACTCGGAATGACCGCAAATAAAATGTGGCTAACCTGTTGCGGCGCATTTGGGAGCATCCGTTGATGCTGATGATGGTGGAGGTGGTGGCGCGGAGCCCGGCGGCATCGGAATCTTGACACTCTTCGGCAGTTCGACTTCGAGCGGTTTCGATTCCTCGACGCCGTTGAACAATTCGTCGCTGGCCTCGAAAATGTACTTGAGATCCTCTGCGTCTTTCAGTTTGATCGCCTCCGAATTGGGATGTCGAAGGATTTTGCGCACTTCGCAACAATTGTTATGGCACTCCATTCCGCTGGGACAGCTTTCGTTGATGGTGCACGCCAGTGGGCATCCCAGCGATGATTGAAGGGCGCTGACCGGACAGCAAACGCTTTTCGATGTGCAAAAATGATTGGACGGACACGGTGTGTCGAAGCAAGTGCCGTTCGGCGGCGAACCGTCGGAGCACACGTCTGAACTCGGGTTAGCGACTGGATTAGTTCGTCAATCGTCTTACTGCTAGTGGTTAGTGGGACACACTCGCCGTTTCGGCATGCGGTTCCGAGCTGGCATTTCGAGCATGGGTCATTTGTTAGCGTTGAGGGAGGATCCGCGTCGGACTTACGTGAAAGTGAGCTCATTCGCTTTGGAACGATGCAAGTCTGCTGCTCAAAGTTGAACAAGAAACCGTCCTGGCACGATTTGCGGACCCAACGAAGGGTACTGAAATCACAAAACCCATTATAGGAATACCGAGAAGTCGTCTCACGTCTGATCGCATTGGAGGTATGATGATGGGAACTCGTTGTGAGCCTGAAGGCATGTCGCCGACACAGCGCAACTCTCCGATTCTCTCGCGCCATTATCTTGTTCTGCAAAGAAAAGAACGAAACATCTCATCGATTCAAAGAATCAATCCCTCATTTCATATCATTCCATTCTCGATTTAAAAAAAAAACGCAGAAAGCGGGTGGTGCTGCGCGTCGGCGGCTCGCCGGCGGAGATGTTTGCGTACCTGTGGTCACGCGTCGCCGCGGGCCTACGGTAGATGGGTGACCACCATTGTGACTGGCAGCAAGTTTATTTGCGGCCGATCCAACATTTAAAAAAAAAAGACCACCCACCAACACAAAATTTTCTGTGTATTTTTGATCGGATTGGATTGGACACAACACAAAAAAAACTGGTAGTCAGCTTGTGTTTGTTTTTGGTTGGGTGTGGATATTCGCGAATTTAAGCATGCACTTGAAACTAGTTGGTTCGATGAAAGTTTGAAACATTGGCAAATATGGAGCCAAATAGTACAAAATGAGAAATTCATATTGGTCTTCGAACGAAAAGGAATGAATAAACCGATGATCAAAAAGTTCTGATTAAGTTGTCTCAACTATCCCCTCCCACCAGCTCATTCTTCAACCAGTAGTTCGTGCTCGTGCTCGTGCGCACACTCGACACTAATTGTTTTTCCGAAATCAGGCAACACACAATCGTGCGCCGCACCAACAAATCTTTGAAGAAGACGAAGAAGAAGAAGAAAGCTTCCTTGTTTGTAATGATCTGCTGCTGCTGCTGCTGGTGGTGGTGGTCGAGAAGCGCAACTCCACCGTTGTTTGTGTATCTTATTTGTTTGAATTGCGAACTCGCCGAACTCGCCGCGAACGAAGTGAAGATAGCGATGAGGATGCGCTTAGTACGATTTTAGACCTCTCGGCTTTGTTCTCTCCGCGAGCCGAACCGCGCGCAAAGAGCAACCGCACCTCTCAATCTCTCCCTCTCTCTCAATGTCAATCTCTCATCACTAATCTACTTAGAATAGTTATAATAAATAAATGATAATATATTATCAAATATCACATACCACAAATGTTGGGTGATGTCGGCTTGCGAGCCTTTGGATGCTGCTGGGGTTGAGTGTTCTCGGCGGGAATCGAGGCTTGCGCTGGTGCAGCGGCGGTTGGTGTCGCCGCACGCGATTTCACCACCCAAACTCCTTCGCCATCAGCGCTGCTGTAATTGAAATCGATTAGAAGCGCCATATGCAATTGATCAGATTCATTTCATTCTTGCCTTTCCCCCGGTGTCAGTTCATCCGCTCTACAAAACTGAGCGCGGCAAACACTAAGCAGGGTCAAGCATCATGCCGAATCAAACAAATAATAGCGTATAAATAATAAAAAGTGCGGCGCGAAAAACTCACTCGGCCGTCGTTTCGCATTTCAGGAAGAATTGTGTCTGTTTGCCGCCGATTTGCACGTCGGCTGTGCCCAGTTTGCAGGTGCCGCCGATGACGGGCGTCTGTGCGACATTCGAGCCGACTGAACCATCAACGAATGAATTCGGAATATTCGAATATTTCGAATCGCTTACCGAAGAAGATGAGACATAGAAGCGCAACTCGACGCAACATCATCACACAATTGTCGTCGCTTCTCTTTGTGGATTAATAGAATATGAGAAGAAAATGAGAGAAGGGTACCGGGGGGGACTAAATGGGAACAGAAATGAATTGAGATTGTTGGGCAACGATTCCTTGTTCCAGGCTGCAATAACACAAACGTTTTCAATCTTTGAACAATTCCATAATTGATGATAACAATTAAAAAAGGCAAAGTGCAATACTAGACACTGAATGTCGCAGAGGCTGTTTGGTATAGTGGAAGCTTAAGAGGCGGTGGTCATCGTCGGGCGGCCGCTGATGGGGGGGGGGGGAGGTGGGCGGTCCCTCCCTCCACCTCTACAGTACTCAGCGGCGACGACGGCGACGGCGGCTACGGCGGCGGCGGTCATCGAGAAGAGAGAGAGAGAGAGAGACATCGAATGGAAGAGAAGCCAAGAAAAAGAGATGTGTGTTTGAGGGACAGACCAAAGACAATTTGACTTTTTGGTGGTGAAGTCGGTCGTCGCCCATAATAGTCGCCGAGATGGAGAGAGCCGACGCACATTGTTTCCTTTTTTGGCGACCGGTCGATTCGTTGTGAGCACAAGCTTAAGATGCGGTTCTGATGGTTAGGTTTCGAAATTCGGGTTCGGCTCTCACATACAAAAAAAAACAACGGCGGCGGGGGGTTCATTTTGAGCATTGTTTTCCGGTTTTTCGGAATGCACAATTTGCCCTGATTTCGACAATTGTTTTTTTTTTCTCATACCCATAAATACTGTTTCAATGAATATTGAAATTTGGATGCCTCTCAAGAGATCTTATTCAAGCGATGTTCCTAATATTTCAGAAGAAATTGATACGTCTGAATTTATATTGAGGAAGCGATATAAATGGATCGTGGGAGGACTGATTTTGAATGCTTCTCGATGCTTCTTCCACACTCCGCGAAAATTATTAGATTCGGCGGAACGGAAGAAATAAAGATTTGAAATTAAAACTATTTTTTTTTTGAAACAAAAAATTCCATTCAAATCTCAGAAGATCCACTTGGATTTTCGTCGATCGTTCTCCGCATTATTCGCATTTTTCCCGTTTTTGTCTGTTCACACATTGACGCAATTTTGCACACATTTATTTCGCACTGTCAAAATCATTTGAAAATTATTTTCTTTAAACATTTTTGATTAAAATGAAAAGAAATTGAGATTGTTCACATAAATTAAACTTTAAAAAATAATGATCAATGTTTGACGAATTGTGGACCATCGCGCATTTTCGAGGCGGCAATTTAAATGAATTGAATTCAACTACCGTACTACGGATAGCCTGCGAATCAAACTCGGCGCTTTCTGTATTGTCGGCGTCAAACGACCGAATACGGCCGGAGAAATTCAATTTCGCAAAATCAGTGTAGATCTACGAAACTTCTCAGGTAAATCGAATAAAATATTTTGAGATTCATTGAGAAATTATCGCGTCTCTATAATATTTTCGATTTTTCTCAATCAATTATAAGATTTTAGAATTTATTGTGATAATTTTGAATTTGCTCAATAAATTTTAGAAAATTTCATAAGATTTAAAAAAATATTTTTAAGTTTAGCGATTCTCAATAGGTTTTAGAAAGTATCAATAAAGTTTAGATTTTCTCAAAATATTTTAGAGTTTATCATTGAATTTGATTCTCAAAATATTTTATTTGATTTGCTTGAGTATAAATTTTCGCACAGGCTAATGAATTGCGCGTATGCTAAAATGCAGAGTACGCAAACACGCGCAAGTCTCTTTGCTTCGAGACAGCCAATTTTTTTTTATTTCATTCAATTTTTTGATGCTGACAACAATAGATTTGAAAATTCGCAAAATCCAACCTAAATTTCACTTTGTGAGTTTAAAAAAAATCTATTTTGCAAAAGATAATTTCCAAGTTCTTTTTTAATGATCCAAAGTAGGTTTTCTTATTTTCCAAAAAGTTGTTCTTCATTATTTTTTTTGGGTTCAGAATCGGCAGATCAAAGGGGCAAAGTTCGTTGTGTTGGTAGGCACTTATCGCCCAATTGGTGGATGAGCAAGCAGCGTTGAGTGCAAAATTTCCTCGTTTATCAATTTGTCAAACCTCTCATCGTACGCAAATTTTGAAGTGATTGAAGAAGATGGTCGAAGATGCAACCAACCGTGGCGACCTTTGCACAATCGGCACATGATGAAGCTCGTCGTTCTCCATGAGCACAACGCAAATATTTTTTTCGACAAGAATCAACAAATGTTTGAAGGAGTGGTGTGTTGGACGCTGCTCAAAAATATGCGAGCTATTTCTATTTCGAGTGTGTGCCGACTAACACCACAAAGTCCCCCCCCCCCCGACGACTGATTAGTTTGATCCTAACCGAACAAAATGTTGGTCTATCAGAGAACAATTGTTAATTTTTCTATTCAAGAAAATGTGATGGAGCGATTCTATTGTAATTTTTTTTAAAATATAGCAACAGTGGGTAAAATACGAAATTGTTTATCAAATATTTGAAACTGTAAAGGGAATAAAATTCGAATCAAAAATGGAATGTTCCAATTCTTACTATAGTCAAAAATTCCGCCTTTTGAAATTTATTGGCATCAATCCTGGGGACCATTCTTTGACATAAACCTCACCGAACCGCTCTAATTCCAGAACTCTCATCATCAATCATCTTCAATGGGATGTGCAGCCTTCTATGAGATTTCTGCAAGAATATTCCACTTAAGGGGGACCCAATCATGTAAGTTTTTTACCCCATGCGGATTAGTGCTGCTCCTAGTGTTGTACCACTTGTGTAGTCAGCAAAAAAAGTAAGTGCAAACGATTGTCAAACACAAAAACGATGCGGCGGCGGCGGCGGCGGAAAATCTCCTTCCTCGTGTGCGTGTCATTTGGGCCTGGTCGAGCCTGGTATCCACACTTGTCTGTCGAAATTTGCTTTTTGGAGCAGCACCTGGTGTGCGGAATGTGTGCAAAAGATGATTTAAAAAATGAAAACAAAAAAACAAACACACACACAAATTGACAAGGTCGCAAACAGTGGCGCCGGATCCCACCAAAACGGTGTTTTTTTCAACAGCCAATTCTTCTCATTATCTTCTCGCCGATCTCGAGCGCGTTTCATTCGCGCCGTCGATTTTTGATTGGATTTTCGATGTCCGGCTGTGACCGCAAATGACCATGTTTGGCCGCGTCTCTCAATATACAAGTTTTATGCGAAATGGGTTCCGGTAGGCAGTCACCGGATTAACTGACGAAACACTGAAAAAAAATTGGTTTAGATGTGCGCAGCTGAAAACGAACATTAGTCAGGGATATTTGAAAATGAATTATTATCGCGAAATCACATTTTCGCGAGAAATTGTGCACAATAAAATTGGTTGCCGATACAATTTAATTCGATAGCAAAAATCAATCATAATCGAATTTTTCGCTGAATTTGGAGAAACTTTGAGTGAAAAAAAAAAAAACAGAAATAAAAACCGATATTAACCAGTGAAGCCTATGACGTGAAGTCATGTCGTTTTCAGGCGAAAAATGACGATTCTAAACGGAATTTGACTAATTGGAAAATATTCGCAACGGAGCGCATTTGCAACTTCCATCTCTTTTTTAATAATTATCTCGGGACCCTCGACATCTGCACAAACTCGGTTGAGCCAATCAGATTCTGTACAGACCTTCAGCAATGTTTTCTATCGACACAAATTTCCCAGAAAACATCTCAAAAAGAACCATTTTTAGATTTTTTAAAAACCGTTATCTGCACAATATTATAAATAAAAATATCGCAAAACTATTCATAGAGAAAAACAATGAAAGCATTTTTTTGATGCGAGGTAATTCGAAATTATTTTAAATTAATCGAAGGGGATTTTTCTTTGAAGCACAAACCGACAAAAAATGTAATCGGCCGGTGATTTGAAAGACAATCTTTCTTTATGAAGTCAACCCATTCTTCACGCCTTCATTCAAAAATTCTCATTTTTAACAATTTTGGCTTCATTCAACAGCCACCATCTATAAGATTATTTTGAAAATGTGTCAACCGGATGATTAATCTGCATCGATTTGTCTCTAGTGTGCTCATTTCTATTTCCATCTTCGGCTATTTTTATCGAAACTCATCATTATAATCTTCAGCAAAACAGTTTTTCAAGTGCGACCCGATTGTGTGTGTGTGTGCGCGCGGGTTGACCATCGGGGCTCGCCGGTACCGTGTGGCTGTGCTGTCGAACATTTTGATGGTCACTCGCTGTCATGTGTACAATCGGAATAGTGCGCGAGTCGGCGAGCACGCAGGGTGATAAGGAGAGGGGAAGAAATGATGATGGTGATGATGATGATGATGATGACGAACAGCGAGCAGCAGCAGCAGCTATTTTAGTTGTGGGAGGCGCGCGCCGCCGCTGCTGCCGCGTTTCGTGACCTCTTCAGAAATCGGAACGGGCCGGCGCGTGTCCTGATTGTAGACGGTAGTGCGACTCGCTGATAACGAGTTGCGCGCGTCGAGAAAAAAAAAAGACTCGAGCTCGCGCCGTGGCTCTTTTTTGGGGGATCGCCGATAGGAGAGTGTTCAGTTCCAAATTAGTCACCGGAACCCTCCCAACGTTTGTCATTTCTCTTGATTTTCAGCTGGCGTGTCTCATGTGAATAATATTATTAATTATCATTATTATTATTTAAAAACACCTGCGGACATGTTTTTTTTTTAACATTACACATTTATCGAAAGAAGACAAATCAGTATTGTTTTGGACCAAGCGACGAGAGAATTTTAGTCATATTGTTGGTTGATTGTTCATTTGCGTCCGAAGCGGATGTAGTCGTACGACGCCTTTTTGCTAGGTGCCGATCGGCCGAAACGCACAAAGTCGTAGTCGCGCTTCACTGGAAGAAAAAAGAAAAGGCAAATTTGACGATTGATGGGTTCGAACTCACCTTTGAAGTTGTCCGGACGAGGATATCGTTCGCTCATCTCCGGATTTATGACGTATTCCAGCTCGTTGATCGACGCCATCAATTGGCATTCGTCGATGCTCCGACACGGTTTCGTTCTCGGCACCGCCGCCTGAGCGAGAAGGCAGCTGATCAAAACGACGAGAAGCTGTTTGAGAAGCATCGTCATCGAAAAAGTTGACATTTATCCTGCAATTCGAAATGGAAATTTTTTCCGGTTGGAAGGATCGCGGCGGTTTGTTTCCAGGAAGAAACAATGAAGTGAAACGAGCGAAGGAATATTCGAAATTTTTGCAACAAGGAGGTAACGGGGAAATTAATTCACGCTAAACAATTCCAATAACTCAATTTATGCTTCTATATTTATACATTTTTGACACCTGGGAGGAAACGTCATGAAAAAAGACACACACACACACGTCTTACAATTGATAGGCGACGGCGAACGCGAAGGAAAAGCGTCGAAGCCGCGGATAGGCGAAATTCGACAGAATGATTCTGATATGATACGACTGAAATCTGAGCGAATTTCACCTGCCGCCTGAACCGCACCGCCCATCAAAAACCGACAACGTCATTCAGATATTACGGTAGTTTTCATGTAAATAATGATTTATATGTGATTTGAGACGAAAAAAAATCACCAAAAAAGGGCATTCATAAATCATGATTATTTGACGTTTCGTGGCCTTCGACCAACTTCTAAACGTATGAAATAAAGTGAAAAATTTTCGCCGAGTTTTGTGGTCCGGAAGCGAAACCAAACCGACTAATTAACCGACTTCAATGATCCAATTAGTTTTCGAGTTTGGAATTGCCTTTTGAGCGGTGTTTGGTTGCGCGACAGACACTGTCGCTTCGCTCTACACATTGCTACGATTCTCGCCTCATCGGAATCCGCTCAGAAGGTCATTTCGAACCTTCCGATCGTTGTTGTCAATTTTTCGCGGATTCCGACCTCGTGGAAATTTTTTCGAATGAAAATTTTGAAAATGCCGAATTCATTGCAGAACGAAAAATTCGAAATCCGCAAAATTGCGTCAAACACTGAATTTGACGCAAATTTTCGGAACTTGCCTTGTTGAACAATTTGAAAAGGCTGAATGTCATTTTTTTGGAAATGCGGAATTCCGCCCGATTCCAACCTTCCGGGTTGGTTCAATCCATCGGCTCGTCTCATCGTTTTGCGATTCACGAAACAACCAGCCATCGGAATTTCCGAAGGTGTGTAACCCAATAACCGGCGTTTTCGGCACATCATAAAAATCGGCGCGAATCGAATAATGTGTTCTCATTTCATCTGTCCGTTTGAGTTCCTCAAAGAAAGTGCCATTTCAAACGAATTCTCATTTTTTTTGCTTCTTGACATTAGAATCGATATACGCTATAACACATCATCGAATTTCAGCTGCTCTCGATTTTTTTTCCTTCTTCGATTCGAACGAAAACACACAAAAACGCGAATGAGTGTGTGGAAATTCAAAAAAAATATAGAAAAATGAGAAATAGTCGATTATTTCGCTAAAAGTTTCACACAAAAAGTAGTTTTTTTGAGAAAATAGCAAACATTTGCAACAATTTCTTCATTTATTTGATTCCAATAATTTATAATCCAATAAAAATTGAAATATTCAAGAAAATTTGGACACCCAGAAAACCCAATTAATCGACTATTTATTTGTTGAGTTTCAGAATCGAATTGCTTTTAGATTTGAGCAATTAGCCCAATTATATGTAGTTTGTTTCCCCACAAAAAGACGGTTATTCAATGCCTTCACACGCGTTGCGGTTCGCGCGCGGTTCACGTTTATTTTTTCGAAATTCTTCAAATAAACGTGAACCGCAATGACCTACAAGGTCTCGCAGCGAAAAATTCTGGATATCGAATTTCTTTTGGAAAACCTGCCTGAAACTATGTTGAATTAATTGCCTATTCGAATATTTTTTTTAAATATATATTCCAATTATCAACAAATTTTGGCATTTCGAAATCTGAAAAAAAATGTGGCATTTTGTGTTAAGAAAAATGCGATATTTTCGAAATTATAGGATTGATGTGTTAAAATTTTTTTTTGAAGCATTTAAATTTTTTTTAGAGTCTCTTAATTTCCCAATTCATTTTCTTTTTTCCACAAATCAAAAGAATTCAAAAATTAGAAAGAAAATTGTATTCTTCGATTTCTGAAAATGACGATATTTTGAAATTTTCTTGAAGAAAATTTCGAATAACATCTCTGAAAAAATATTTTTTTGAAAATCAAATTTCCGTTTTTTTACAATTTAATCAAGTTAAAAAAAACAAATTTGAATACAGTATTTTTTTTTTTTTGAATTTTCGCATTTGATAAATTAATCAAACAAGAATTTTTCAAAAATTTTTATGAAATTTCGATATCAGATTATCTGTCCAAGTATGAAATTCAGCGAAACAAACAAATTTTTCAAACAGTAAAATTCCCCAGAATCTTGCGTTTTTCAAAATTTCGTTTTTTCACATCAATCTCAATTTTTGTTTTATTAAAATAAATTTTTAGAAAATTTAAAAAAAATGTGGTGAAAATATTGAGATATTGCACTTCATTCCAATTTTTTCCCAAAAAAATTTTATTATCGACGACATTTAATAATAATAATAATTCTAATGATCAAAAATCAATAAATAAATGGATAAAATAAAAAAATATTCAAAATATTGATATTTCCGTTGGATTCGTTTCGGCGAAACCCTTCCATTTGGCTCAGCCCCCTCAATTCAGTCGGCCACAATTTATGATTCACAATATTCGTGTCGTTCGCCATCGAAGATGGCCCTCCTAGAAATATACATAAATAACACAAAAGGAAAAAAGGGGAGGAGAAGGAAAAAATGGCAATTGAAGGACCACGAATAATCAAATAGGATTGTATTCATTGTGTGCACAACACCGTGTCCCATCGAAATTCGAATCAGCTGAGCCGACGAGCTTCTCGACCAATTCGAGGCTTCCGAATTCCGTTTTCGTCTTCAGACATTTTCAATTAAGCAACAAATCCACCTCATTTTTGTTCAAGCATATGCGATGAAGTGCTCTCTTCGCGGACAGACACACACCTTATTCATTCATCCTTCTCGCCGATTCGTCCGCTTCGGTAAACCGACGCGTCTCGAATTAGCTCTCGGCGAACTCTTTTCGTTTTTCGAGCAATTAAAATAATTAGCGTTATTTATTTTATTTTTAAGAACATGTGTTGTGCTAATAATAAACCAATCAAACTAAATTCGTTTTCTCGCGTTTTCCCAAACAATTTTTGTTCTCAAATTTCAATCTTTTCTCTTCTAATTACATGTTTCATGACAACTATAATAAGCATTTTCGATTCAGACCGCATTCTCTCTCTTAATGTTGAATAATTAAATTGATAAATTACTTTCGCCAAAAAAAAAATCGCCTTGGCAAATTGTCGACCATCGCACTTTATTTTAGGCGGTAATTCAAATTCGAATTTAAACCGTGGCAATTCGGAAGAATTATCGGGAATAAAAGCGCACCGAAGAATTTTGCATCAGATTAATATTGTCATCACAAGCAATCAGGAAATGGTTCCCCAAACTGTCCACTTGCTTTTGTCGAAGTTTAGCTTCTTCTTGATGTCATTTGTAGACTTCATACTGCTCGAAGCTGCCCGAATGCTTGCTCGATTAGCGAGATAGTCCAGTTTTCCTCTGCCGCCTGACTTTTGCGACATGTTGACACGAGTTGGATCCTTCACAAAAATGTCTACGAATGTTTTCGGACCATTTAAATTCTTCGCAACTCGACAGTTCGACCATCCTGCCGTTTTGAATGCGATAATCTGAGATTTCTCAGAATCACTAAGACAGCGACCACGTGGCATTTCAAAATGATTCAAAAAGTGAAAAATAAGGACCACTGTAGGTTCTCAAAGCCACACAACAATTTTTATGCACACTGGTCCCGCCAAAATTTCAAAAAAAAATGCGAAAAAGTTCGTTTCATGGGGATGGCTTTATAATTCTGCACCGCTCGAAAAACGGTTTTAGACCACAGCGCGGTTACATTTTAAGCTAATGTCATGAAATTTGGGACATATAGGTTATTTTTCATGCTGAACACGATTTTCACACTGGTTGGTCTCAAAATATCGAAATCATTGCGCGGCGCTCAAATTTGGGGGTGGCCTTATAATTCTGAAACGCACTGTATAATACACAGATATTCAAAAGAAAATCAATTTTGAATTATCTAAACATTTTACTACTGACTTGGAAGCGAATTATGCACCATTGGATTGCCGATAGCCGCATTGCCTGATTGCTTGTGATGACTATATTAATCTGATACGAAATTCTTTGGCGCGGTTTTATTCCCGAGTTTTATAATTCTTCTGGATGGTAATTCGACTACCGTACTACTTACAACCTGCGAATCAAACTCGTTTTTTGCTACGACCATCAAGGGGTAATAAGGTGAATTTGTTGAATAGAATGTAATCTAAAACTACCAAAGAAAATGTGGGAAAATGGACCCCAACAAAAGCCTTTCATCCGTCCTTCAAATTCTTGGATGCCATCAAACGGGCTTACCTTGAACACTTCTATGTCGATTTTTGAGAAAATTGGGCGCTATCCGCCTATATTACCATCGCAAAAAACAGATGAGGACCTTGACAAATTGTGGACCATCGCACTTATTCGAGGCGGCAATTCAAATTTGAATTTAAAAGGTACCGTATTCTGCACAAATTTCAGTTGATTTCATTTAAAAAATGCGATTTTTCAAATTTTTCTAGAATATTTTAGTAATATAATGTCAGAGTCAAACGACTTGACGAAATTAAAAAAAAAATGATTGGCCGCAATCTCGCGTACCTCAAGACGCATTGGCACATAGCCAAACCAATATTTTTTTCTTATTTTCGTTCAATCGTTTCAGTGCCGAACATTGTTTTTCTTTGTCAAATTGAAATTTTGCGATTTTTCTACGATTTATAGGGTAGATTTACGGGCATGCGCCTTGAAAAGGTCTCGCCACGCGTGAATTCTTGTTTTGCTGTTTTCACGTGAACGATTTATTTTTTCTTGATGAATTCTTGAATTTTCAACTCAACAATTTGAACATTATCGAAACGTTGCATAAAAATTGAAATAACCTGTTAGTCCGTGCGAGACCAAGAGAAAGGAGC